CTTTTTCTTGTCTTAGTGTTTATGCCCTAGGATTTAAGCTTGCACAAACCATGGCCTTTGCTATTGATGAAATCAACAGAAACTCAAACCTGCTACCAAATGTGACTCTGGGATATACTCTGTATGATAGCTGCCTTGAACTTGGAATTGGATTTCGTGCAGCATTGTCATTAGCCAATAGTCAAGAAGAGAAAATTATATTAAATGATACATGTTCTGGAAATCCTTCAGTCATAGGGATTGTGGGCGATCAGTCTTCTACACCTTCTATTGCCATCTCCAACGTCTTAGGTTTGTACAGAGTACCTATGGTAAGTTTTCTGCTTGACCATGTAATAGTTTTCTTTGATTGTTTTCATTTAATAGCAAATGTAGAGCCACTTGTACAAAACAATGCATAACAAAGTTTAAAAAAAAATGTTTGATATCACTACATATAGTCTCTATTCTTCACAGGTGAGTTATTTTGCCACATGTTCCTGTCTGAGTGACCATCAAAAGTATCCATCCTTCTTTAGGACGATCCCAAGTGATGCTTTCCAGGTGAAAATCTGTCAACAAAGTTAAAATGGAAAAGCTAATGAATTCTGGTTAAAGAAATTACCTGCTTTGCAACAATATGATTACAATGACGCAAAATGTTTTTTTTTCAGTTACAGTTTTTTTGTATGAAAAAAGCTAAATTGTGACCATGGGGTGTGCATTGGAAAGTGATACAAAAACAATCATGTGGAAAATTGTTCTTGTTTCTTCATTTACACTTAGGTACGTGCTATGATCCAGATTCTAAAGCACTTTGGCTGGACTTGGGTAGGTCTGCTTGTCACTGATGACGATTATGGACTTCATGCAGCCAGATCCTTTCAGTCTGAGCTGAGTCTTTCGGGTGAATCTTGCCTGGCCTACACTGAGGTTTTGCCCTGGAACAAAGACACAGATGAACTCAGGAGGATTGTTGATGTTATGAAAAAATCCACAGCTCGAGTTGTCATTGTCTTTGAACATTACAGTCGTGTGATAAATCTTATGGAAGAGGTTTGGCTTTACAAATCTTTAATTATTACTAGTTTCATAGGTCTGAATCACAAAAGTATATTGTGTGAAACATGTATTACATCCTATTTGAATGAGTACAGAAAAACAGTCATTCATTTGAAGATGAATAATGACTTCAATTGCATGATAATCCCACTAAAGAAGTTGTAGTTACAATATCCCTTCATAGATGGTGTAGGTGTATGTATGCTATTAGGTGTAATCTAATTCACAGGTAGTGAGGCAAAATCTAACTGGCATACAGTGGATGGCCAGTGAAAGCTGGACAGTAACAGTACCTGATGTGCTCCAAACACCTCAGCTTATGCCATACCTGCGTGGTACACTGGGCATCGCTATTCGTCGAGGAGAAATACCAGGGCTCAGGGAATTCCTGTTACAAATACGTCCTGATCTACATCACAACAATAGCTATGAAAATAGCATGGTGGGAGTTTAACTTTTTAATATACTAGTTGGAAGAATCGTATATTTTCATGATGTGTAAAAAACAATATTAAAATATTTCAGGTGAACCAGTTTTGGGAATTTGCATTTCAGTGCAGATTTGCTCTAGCTCCAGCAGGCTGGCTGGAAGGTGGAGGTGCAATATGTACTGGACAGGAAAATCTGGAAAATGTGGACAATGAGTTCTTGGACGTTTCCGACTTGCGGCCTGAGTATAATGTGTACAAAGCTGTTTATGCACTGGCATATTCCCTTGATGACATGCTGCGGTGCAAGCCAGGAAGAGGGCCTTTCAGTGGGAACAACTGTGCCACTTTGCAGTCACTGGAGTCATGGCAGGTGTGATATCATTTTACACTCTGTTTATAAATTCTTTACTTTAAAATTACTTTCAGGATATAATTTACCACAGAATTTAACATGTAGAATTAAATACAATGTGATAATATTAACTATTAAAAAGATGGAGTGAGCTCAACAGATTTTCCGCACTCCCCCCAAAATTAGCAGTTGATATGTTTAGATCAGAGGCATGTATGCATGAATCATTACTAGTGATGTAATATTCTATTTGATTATTTAATACTGGATGCCATACTAGGTTACTTTTCACCTCAGTGTGAAAAGTAATTTATTTATTAT